GGGGGGCTCCTCTTGTCTTTGCCATTGATATTTCTAGGTTGCTGGCTTCTTTGGCTCCAGGTCTGGCCTACATGAGGCAGCTCACCACCTGTCATTCCTTTGGTCCCCATGTACCTAGCTGTCTACCTTATTTCCTCCATCTTTTAAGATCTTTGTATGTTTAATAGGTAATGTCCAGTGTTTTTAGTTATACTCAGTGGGAGGAACAGGGAAAGGTATGTCCACTTCATCTTCCCAGAAGCAAAACAGTGCTTCCCTTTCTGCTGAGTCTTCTTTCTTATTCTCTGTCAACTATTTGCAAAGAGCAAGTCTACACCAGATACTTTCCTATCTGTCTGTGCATGTGAAGGGCCATAACAGTTATTTGTACACTGACTGATTTGGCTGTTCACATGATACCTTAACCTCCAAGAGAGAATTTTGAGAACTATCATTAGGATAGTTTTGTTTTGTTTTGTTTTGTTTGAGGCGGAGTCTCACTCTGTCACTCTGTGTAGAGTGTTATGGCATCATAGCTCACGGCAACATTAAACGCTTAGGCTTAAGCAGTCCTCCTGCCTCAGCCTCCCAAGTAGCTGGGACTATGGGCACCTACCACAATGCCTGGCTAGTTTTTCTATTTTTAGTAGATATGGGGTCTTGTTCTTGCTTAGGCTAGTCTTGAACTCCTGAGCTCAGGCAATCCACCTGCATTGGACTGCCATAGGGCTTGGATTACAGGGATGAGCCACCATGTCTGGCCAGGAGAGACTCTTAATAGTGTTACGGAACTTCTGTAAGTTCTGGCCAGGAAGTGTTCACTAGGCACCCAGCTTCAAGGAGAAGTGGGGTGCATCCTCCTGTTCATCTCCATAGAGAGGTTGTAAGCAGAGGGCAGACTGCCCCAAGACTCTGTGAGATATAAGCCTATGAGTTGCTGTGGTTGGCTGAGGCTTTCTTATTTCATGGCCGTCACATCCTGGGGAGCCACCCCTCTGGGAGCTTGTAGCAGGATGTCCAGAGCATTCACCCCTATCTCCTTTGAAACAGGAGGACCATGACACCATGGAAGCTGATCTGGACAAAGATGAACTGATCCAGCCCCAGCTTGGAGAACTCTCAGGCGAGAAGCTTCTGACCACGGAGTACTTAGGAGTAAGTGCCATGTGAAGGGCAGGGGGTCCTGATATAAAGAGGATAGATGGACGCTGATGGCGGTAGTGTTTTCAATAACACATAGGGTTTAGTTTGGTTTGTTAAAATTCTGTGTTTATGAGGTGATCCATGCTAGCCAATTTGCTCTCAGTGGCCCTAGTCATCATATGTCACAAATAGACCTGCAGGTGTAGAATGGGGATTAGGGGGAAAGATAACTAGCAGGCACGTGTCGGGAGCCGCCGTAATATCTAAAGTGATGCCTGGCCTTACTAGTAACCTTATACCCACCTAGCTTTTTAGTTTCCGTGTACCTTATCTGTGAGAAGGGAGGACGTGGTAGATTTGGAAGTCATCAGCATAGAGGTGGTAGCTGAATCCATCAGAGCCCATGAGGTTGCCCACAGAAGCAGAGTATGAAGCAGACAGGAGGGAGAGGGTGAGCAGAGAGGGACATCCTGGCATGGCAGGGGTGGGTAAAGGAAGGGGTCCCCTGAGAACAGATAGAGGGGCCTGAGGAGAACTGAGAGGCACTAGATTATGACCCACCAACTAAATAGGAGAGGTGAGTCAGTGAGTCAGGAGGGAGCTATTATTTGCTCAGGAGAGGGTGGCAGTGCCAGGACCCACAGGTGTCTCTTGATGGCCATGTGGGTGCCACTGTGTAAGGTTTCAGAAGGGAAGAACAACTACAAGGGCTGAGCACCCTTCCAGGCTGAAGCCCTGCATCAGGCACTGAGCACATAAGGTAAAGGCTATGGTCATGAAAAGGGCTCCTAGAGCGTTGAAGCTGGCAATTGACTGGCACAGTCAAGCAGACCTCGAAATGTCCTTGAAATCTTTTCAAATTAGGAAACCTGACTTGGGAGAGAAAGGGAGAACCAGTTTCTCAACAACTGACTGGCAGAAACCTGAAAAGGACAAGATGGTTGCCTGAGCCTTTATGGGAGCAGGTGGCAGCAGAACATGCCTGCTCATTCCCACTGCCACCCAGCCAGACCCTCCCACATCTCCTGGCCTTCGTCCCTTCCTCCTCTCCACAGAGGCTCCAGGTTGGAGAGCAGTGTGTGGTGGTAGAGCTCGAGGTTGGAAGGACATCAAAGGCCATATTGTAGGGCTTAGTAGGCAAGGGTGAGTGTTTGGGATTTTACTCTCCACAAGCTATGGAGGTAACCACTGGACATTGAGGAAAGAGGAGTGACTTGGTTTAATTTATGTTGTAATATATATAAACAAACATACATTTTCACTCCTGTTGCTTTGTGGAGAGTAGACTGTAGGAGCAAGAGAAGGAAGGAGGTTGGGGAGGTGGCCATAGGAGGCTGGGGGCAAAAAACCAGCATGGACGGGGGTCCATAGACGGGGCCACTAGGCAGGACTTTGCCATTGTCCTTAGAATGTATCAAGTATCAAAGGAGCCTAATTGCCCGTGGAGGCTCTGTTTACATTAGGGCAAGTGCAGAGGCCCTGAAAAAGTCAGAAGTGAGGCTGTCCAAGGTTCCAAGCTGTTGATGGAAGTCTCAAGCTATGACTAGGCCTTTGTTTCCTGTTGGAAGAAAACTGGCTTTGTCAGACTGTGCTCCCTTTGACAGGACAGAAGCATCTGCAGGATGCTTCTGCCTCGTGGAGAGGCGATGAGAGCAGAGGAGGCAGGTTGGGGGGGCATCTCTGGAGGGCAGACAGTAATACCTGTGAGCCTGCAGGGCATGAGCCCCTGGCTTGCATCTGAGACGCAGCCACAGGAGCACAGAAATGTCCACAAGGATGGTCATTTGTATCCAGGTTGGATAGAGCCCTGAATCCAGCCCTCAGTTAGTCCTGTACGGTACCTCTACGCACTGAGATGCTGTGGATGAGGCCATCTGTTGATGTGGGAAAGACTTCTAACAATAACAAAAGTTTCATCATGCAAATTGGTCAGGCACAAAAGGACAGTGCTTTCCAGTCAGTAACCGAAGTGTGATGCCATCTGGAATGGTATAATTTTCCCAGGAAATGTTAGGTCATTAAATATGAAAGGTTCGATTTTGAATCAAATGTTTGGTTTATCGTATCTCAAATAAGAAACAATGTAATTAATCAAAGTATGCGCCTAAACAATCCACACTGTTTTGCCATCTTACTGGTGCCTGTACATGCCAGCAGCAAAGAGGTTTGGAGAGTGAGTGGTAATGAAATTGTGAAAGGTGGTGGGCAGCGCCTGTGGCTCAGTGAGTAGGGTGTGGCCCCATATACTGA